GTGATGTGGAGTATTACCTATATACCTGCACTTTACAAAGCACTTTATCTGTTTGCTTGGTGTTGACTGGAGATGGAAGGAGTAAGTGTGCCTGTCAGTGGACTGTATGCTCGTCAGTCCCCCAGGTCAGGGGTGGGACCCTGGGCTTGGAGAGGGGCAGAGGGTGCTCTGGGTGGACTCACATGTGAGTCCCCGAGGTCTGGGGTTAATTCTCCTGGGGTCAGGAGGGGCCTTTCCGGTGACATATGGCGGGCCTCGGTGCCCCAGAATCAGAAGGCCATAGGGCTAGGAGGACAGCCCCTTGGTACACCCCAGACCTGGCCTTTAGGAACTATTACCCAGGCTGGAACTCACTTCCCTCTACTTAGAATTGCCCAGGACCCCAAGGGCCAGGCCTTAGCCTAAACCTCCATCCCTCAGCCTGTGCCCATCACTTTCCAGCATGCTGCTTCCAGAGGCCTTCTGCCATCTGGTGCCCACAGTCCAGGGATTACTAGCAGCTGCACTCTTCCACCAGGTAGGCGCCCAGTGTGGGTGTTGGGTGACTTCCCCGGGTTAAGCTCAGGTTTTGTCCTGGCCCAGGGAGGGCTCAGTGTGCAGGGGACCCTGGCCTGGGGGTAGATGTTTGCCTGTGCTTGCCTGGGTGTTGTTGGGTGTGTGTATGTGCGTGTGCATGTGTGCGTATGCATGTGCAATCTGTGCGTGTTTCCATGTGTACCTGGGTGTGTTTGTGTGTGCATGTGTGAGTGTGCATGTATGTGCAGCCTGTGCTTTGTGTGCGCATGTACGTATGTGTGTGCATGTGTGGCACATGTGTGAGCGTGTGTGTGTGTGTGTGTGTGTGTGTGTGTGTGTGTGAGAGAGAGAGAGAGAGAGAGAGAGAGAAACAGATGTTGAGTGAATGGAAGTGAGAGACAGAGTGGGTCTCTCCCTAACCCCAGATACCCTAGCCTGGATTTCACATCCACTTCTCCCCAAGACCCCTGCCCTCAATCACCACTGCCACATTCCCCTCAGAGCTTTGTCCACTAGCCCATCTGTGCATCTAGTTCTGCCCCAGCCCCTTATCCTTCACTGTCCCACCCCCTCCCATTGCCGCTCCTTGGCAATGCTGCTATGGGTGGGGAACCTTGCTCCCATGAGCTGCTAATACTCTCTCACCAGCTGTCCAGTCTACCCAGGTAGCCTCCCCCTTCTGTGTTCTGGAGTGGAGCCTTCCCCTCCCACAGCCCCCCAGCTCCTACCCCATTGCTTGGGGTTTTGACCAACTCCCCTCCCACTAGCCCTTAGACCCCAGCTTCTGGGAAGCTCACAATAGACATTGAGACACCTCATGGATAGAGGGGCAAGAATGGGTTGAGCACGGTTTGGCTGGGTCCCTGTGCCCAGCCTCCGCAGCCTCCCCAGCTCCTCCAGCTGCTGCCGGTGGTGTCTGCCACCTGCGGGCACTGGCCAGCTACCTCTGAACCAGGCACTGGCTGCTGTGCCACACCCTCAACAGAGCCTCAGAGCTGGAGAACACCTGTGCACTCGGACCAGCTGCTGCACGTCCAGGTCAGTTCCCACCGTGTTCCACGGTACCCCACTCCCTTTGTCACCCAGGTGACTACTACCTGAAATTCAGAATCCAGAGGGCAATGTTTGTCCTCACTGATGCATAGGCACATATTGACTTGGATTGCAAAGTGCCCCAAATGACATCAGACTTTCTGATGAGAGTATGTTTTGTCCGATGGGCTTGCCAGTGCGTTGAGAGTGGACAACTCAAATGAGCTTCATTTGCAGCTCTGAGGCTGACAAATATCTATGTATGTCACATATATGTTATGTTATATGCAGGAGGCTACATTGGTGCAACTCTTTAAGATTGGTGTGAACATTTTGTTGCTAATTAAAAAATGGGCTTTAGGAGAGGGGTTAGGGGACTTTTCAAAATTTCTTTATGGGGTATGCAAGCAAAAATGTTTGCCCACCCCTGTTATAGGGCGTCCGCTGTTCCTCACTGGCAAGGTTCTTGGGCTTGGTCATTGTTCTCCAAACTTTGCACATGATGGATATTGTGATAATGCAAGGGGGTGGGATGAGGTGTTGAGTGGGACACTGGGTTGGGCTGTGACCTTCAAGAGCCTTTTTATGTTCTACCTTGACCTTCAGAGGTTTCCAGGCCCAGTGTGTGGGTCCTGTGTTCTTCTTCCTCCCACTCTAGTCTTTTGGGGGTCCATCTCATGCATGTCTGTCACCATGGGCTCCATCCTCATGGCTCCTATCACCCAGCACTGCTTACTGTCACCTGCAACTATCAGGTCCCAGGGCCTGGTCCATCCTTCCCCATGGGTGGGTCATCTCGGGATCCCCTCTCCTCCACTTGGCCTCTGTCATTCTGGGTGCAGCATCTCATCTCTATCACTGTGGACCTGGCCATCACCCATCTATCATCTACTTCACCTCCATCATCCTCGCTTCAGGCTCATCTGGCCTCTAGGGCCTTGTACATGGTAGGCTTTCATTCATTCGTTTGCACATTCGGTGAAGGTCTACTGTGTGCCAGGCCCTGTGTCAGACATCGAGTAAACGGACGTTGCCCTTGAAAGTGCACACCTTGGGGAGATGGACAAGAGTCGGCGGATGGCAGAGAGCCTGAGCCAAGGTGGCTTGGGGAAGTGGTACAGAGAAGGGCCCACCTGACTTCTTTGTGGTGGTAGGGAGTAGGAGGGGCCCAGAAAGGAGAAGTTATGTGTGCCTTTCTCTCTCGCTGGTGGCTGACATCTCAGAAATGGAGCCAGGAGTCCTGCCCCCCTCCCAGGTCCCTGGTTCCTACCTCTCCATGAACATTGGCTCCTCTCACTCTGCATCGCATTCTCTGGGCCAGCCTCCTTGCTGTCTACTTTGTTGGAGATTATCCAATCCTCCCCAGATCCTTTGATGTTGGTTACATCTTTCCCTTGTTTAGATGGTAAAACTGATGCTCAGACAGGTTTCTTGAATGTCACATGTAGGAACTCAGATGGAGGGTTAAGGATCAAATTTCTTTACACCAAAGAATTTGGTGGAAAGAATAAATGCATGAATGATGGGGGTAGTAGTGGGGGCGGCAGACTTTTACTTCTCATTGCACAGCCCTGGAGTTGTTTAAGGCAGAGTTCAAGAATAGGAATGTGGGTTGGAGGAGGGAGAGTTATTGCGAGTGGGGATGGGTGGGCTAGTCTGTGATGGGACTGGTCATGCATCTGGGGTAAAATCAGAAAATGGAAGACTAGATTGTGAATGGTTTGTAAAGCAAAATTTGTTCTATTGTAAAATTCTGAGCTATGTCCTTGCTACTTTGTGCTGTTACAATGTACTTACATTATCTAAAATGATGGTGGTCATGATGGTGTTTTGTCTATTGATTTTAATGTCTTTGGCTGTCAAATATCTATTTTTGAAGTTTCTAGGTCCTGGAGAGTCAGAACCTTGGACCCTGTCCATGAAGACCTTGCGGATGTTCTGGGGGGAAGGGCTATGAACTTGTGGGATGTGACAGTGGCTCAGATGTCTTAAAGGTCTCCTTTAATAATTGGGGTGGACTCAGTGTAGGGACCTTGGTGGTCTTCAGATGTTTCAGGATTTCTACCTTTGGTAGATGAACTTCTAGAACGTTTAGGCTTGTTCAGTTGCCTGTTTCCATTTGATTATGAATCAGAAATCAGGTGGTGTGTGCAGACTGCCTAGGGACCTGTGGGGTTGTGGTGGCACCCTTGGTGTCTTACCTTCCCCTCAGCATGGCCATCACTTATTGTGGTAGAGACTGCAGCTCTGGGATGTTTTTGAGGACAGATACCACTCTTAGGTTCCTGTGTCAACTAGGCCCCTCCTCCACTCATATGTCACACTGAGCCCCACCTCCACTCATGTGTCACAGTAGAGCCACTTCTCCACTCATATGTCACACTGACCCCTCCTCCACTCATATTAACAGGGAGCTCCTCCTCTACTTATGTGTGACACTAAGCCAATTCTCTATTCATGTGTCACATTGAGCCCCTCCTCTACTCAATTGTCACACTGACCCCTCCTTTATTGATATGTCACACTGAACCCTCCCCTACTCATAATTAACAAGATGCTCCTCCTCTAATGTGTCATATTGAGCCCTTCCTCCATTTGTAATTAAAGAGAGATCCTTCTCTACTCATGTGTCACCCTGACCTTCTCTTGTTCTCATATGTCATAGTGAGCCCCTCCTCCACTCATATGTCACACTGAGATTCTTCTCTACTCCCATCACAGAGACCTCCCTGTACTCATATGTCACAATGAGCGCCTACTCCACACGTGACCTCCTCCACTCCATTCTATGTCACACTGAGCCCCTCTTTCACTCATATGACACACTGAACTCCTCCCTTTCTCATGTCACACTGAGCCCCCATCCACTTATGTGTCACACTGAGCTTCTACACCATTCTTATGTCACACTGAGCTCATTCTCTACTCATATGTCACACTGAGCCCCTCCTCTACCCATATGTTACATTGAGCCCTCCCTCTACTCAATTGTCACATTAAGCCCTGACTTCACTCGTGTCAAACTGAGCTTCTACCCCATTCTTAAGTCACACTGAGTTCTTCCTTTACTCTTATGTCTCCTCCTCCATTAATATGTCACACTGAGCCCTTACACTACTCATGTGTCACACTGAGCCCCTACTTCACTCATGTGTTACACCGCACCCCTCTTGTACTCCTCCTTTACCCATGTGTCTAATTGACCTCCTACTGTCCTCATGTGTCACAATGTGCTCCAACTCTACTCATGTGTCACACTGAGCTTCTCCACTCTTATGGTAGACTGAGATCTCTGAGATCTTCCTTTATCCTTTTTTTTTTTTGAAGAAGAGTTTTTGCATTTATTTCAACTCGGTAACTCAAAAACAGAGCTAAGGGGAAGAGAGCCTCATTTTATAGATGGAAAAACAGAGGCAAAAGTAAAAAGAAGCAAAGGCAAGTTTCATGGTTCAGTCACTGTATTAGGATGGAGTGTAGGCACGATGGTGATGCATGGGGTTATCCATTCAGTCACTAGCGTGCCTCTTCAGAGATGCCCCAAGCCAGAGTGAATGAACTTGGCTCCAGTAGACACATGCATGGTAGACACTGAGCTTCTCCATTCTTATGGTAGACTGAGATCTTCCTTTATCCTTATGCCACACTGAGCTCCTCCTCTACTCATATGTCGGCCTGAGTCTCTCCTCCACTCATATGCTACACTGTGCCCCTCCTCTACTCATGTTTCACACTGAGTTCTTCCTTCACTGATGTGTCACACTGAGCTCCTCCTCCACTTGTGTTTCACAGTGAGCCCCTCCTCTACTCACATTTCGTACTAGCACATCCTCTACTTATGTCACACTGAGCTTCTCTTCCACTCATGTGTCATATTGAGCTCCTCCTTCACTCATGTGTCACACTGAGCCCCTCCTCTACTCATCTGTCACAATAACCTCCTCCTTTGCTCATGTGTCACACTGGGCTCCTCCTTCCCTCATGTGTCACACTCAGACCCTTATCTGTTGGTATGTCACACTGAGCCCCTCATGTCACACTGAACCTCTCCTCTACTTGTGTCATACTGAGCCCATCTTCCGCTCACGTGTCATATTGAGCCCCTTCTCCACTCATATGTCACACTGAGCTACTGTTCCATTCTTATGTCCCACTGAGCTTTTCCTTCACTCTTATGTCACTCCATTCATCTGTCAAAGGAACCCCCTTCTCTACTCATATATCACCTTAAGCCCCTCCTCTATTCAGCTGTCACACTGAGCCCGCCCTTCATTCATGTGTCATACTGAGATTCTCCTCTACTCACGTGTCACATTGAAATTCTTCTCTACTCAGTATTAGAGACCTTGTTCTACTCATATGTCAACTGAAGTACTCCTCTATTCACGTATTGCACTAAGCCTCTCCTCTACCCATGTGTCACAGTGAGCTCCTCCTCCACTGAAATGCCATGCTGGGCCCAGCTTCACTCATGTGTCATACTGAGCTTCTTCTCTACTCATGTGTCACATTAGCTCCCCCTTTGTACATATGTCATACTGAGCTCCTCCTTTCATATGTCCACTGAGCCTTTCCTGTACTCATGTGTCACACTGAGCTTCTCCTCTACTCATGTGTCCCATTGAGCTCCTCCTCTCCTCATGTGTCGCACTTAGCCCCTTCTCAACTCACGTGTCATACTGATCTCTCCCTTCACTCATGTGTTATATTGAGCTCCTCCTCTACTCATGTTTCACATGAGCTCCTTTTCTACCCATATATCATACTGAACTTCTCCACTCTTAGGTCACACTGAGTTCTTCCTCCACTACTATGTCACACTGAGCTTCTACTCTACTTATGTGTCAAACTAAGCACTTCCTCCACTCATATGTCACACTGAGCCCCTCCTCTACTCCTGTGTCATATTGAGCCTCTTCTCTACTCATGTGTCACTCTGAGCTCCTCCTCTACTCATGTGTCACACTGAGCTCTCCCACTCTACTCATTTGTCACTTACTGAGTTCTTCTACTTTTATTTTCAACTGAGCTCTTTCTTCACTCTTAGGTCATATTAGGCTCTTCCTCTACTCATATGCCATTCTGAGTACCTCCTCTACTCATGTCACACTGATCTCCTCCTCTAATCATGCATCATATTGAACCCCTTCTCTACTCATGTAATATTTACCCCACCCCCACTCATGTCACACTTAGCCACGCCACTCAAATGTCACACTGAGGACCTCCTATCCTCATGTGTCACACTGAGGCACTTTTCCACTCATAAGTCACACTTAGCTTCATCCCATGTGTCACAGAGACATTCCTTTACTCATGTGTCACACTGAGCGTCTCCTCTACTCATGTCCCTTCTACATATATGTCACACTGAGCCTCTCCTCCACTCATATGTCACACTAGCCAATCTTCTACTCATGTGTCACACTGAGCTTCTCCTCTACTCATGTGCCACAACGATCCCTTCTTCTACATATATGTCACACTGAGCCACTCCTCCACTCATATGTCACACTAGCCAATCTTCTACAGTGAGCGTCTCCTCTACTCATGTGCCACAATGATCCCTTCCTCTACTTATATATATGTCACCCTGAACCTCTCCTCCACTCATATGTCACACCGAGCTCCTCCTCTTCTCATGTGTCAAATTGAGCTCCTCCTCCACTCATGTTTCACATTGAGCTTCTGCTTCAGTCATGTGTCACACTTAGCTTCACCCCCACTCATATGTCACACTGAACCTTTCCTTAACTCATGCATCATACTAAGCTCCTCCTTCTCTCATATATCCAGTCTTTCCTGTACTCATGTTTCACACTTAGCTCCTCCTCCACTCATATGTCACACTGAGTTCCTCCTTTCTCATCTTTCACAGTGAGCTCCTCCTCTCCTCGCATGTCACACTTTGCTCCTCCTCCACTCATGTGTCATACTGGACTCGTCCTTCACTGCTGTGCTATACTGAGCTCCCCCTCTACTCATGTGTCACAGTGAGCCCCTCCTCTACTCGTGTCACACTGAGCTCTTCCTCTATTCTTATGTCTAATCGAACTCCTTCTCCATTCGTGTGTCACACTGAGCTCCCCCTCTACTCATGTTTTATACGGAGGCCAGCTTCTACTCACGTGTCCCATTGAGCTTCTGCTCTACTCATTTACACTTCCTTCATTGATGTGTCACACTTAGCTCCTCTTCCACCCGTGTGTCACAGGGAGCTCCTCCTCTACTCATATGTCACACTATCCCATCCTCTACTCATATGTCACCACGAGTTCCTCCTTTACTCATGTGTCACAGTGAGCCCCTCCTCTACTCGTGTATCACACTGAGCTCCTCCTCTACTCACGTGTCCCATTGAGCTTCTGTTCTACTCATGTTTCACACTGAGCCCTTCCTTCACTGATGTGTCACACTGAGCTCCTCCTCTTCTCATGTGTGAAATTGAGCTCCTCCTCTAGTCATGTGTCACACTGGGCTCTGCCTTCACTCATTTGTCACACTGAGCTCCTCTTCTACTCGTGTGTCACACTTATTCTCTCCTACACTCATATGTCACACTGAGCCCCCCCTCTACTCATATGTCACACTAAGCTCCTCTTCTACTCATGTGTCACACTTATTCTCTCCTACACTCATATGTCACACTGAGCTCCTCTACCAATATGACACCTTGAGCCCCTTCTCTATTCATACGTCACACTGAGCACCTCCTCTACTCATGTCACAGTGAGCTCCTCTTCTACTCATGTGTCACACTTATCCCCTCATTTGCTCATGTGTCACACTGACCTTCTGTACACATGTGTCACATTGAGCTCCTACTCCATTCATGTTCCATATTGAACTCTTTGTTCACTGATAATGGCATACTTTGCTCCTCCTATAGGGAGCCCCTCCTCTGCTCAAATTCCTCAGCCACATGTCACAATCAGCTCCTCCTCTACTCATGTTTCACAATTAGCTTCTCCTTCACTCATTTGTCACACTGAGCGTCTCCTGTATGTATGTGTCACATTGAGCTCCTAAACCCAGTCGCTACTCATGTGCCCTATTGAGCTCCTACTCTACTCACGTTTCACACTGAGCGCCTCCTTCATTGATGTGTCACACTTAGCTCCTCCTCTACTTGTGTTTCACAGTGAGCCCTTCCTCTATGCATATATCACATTGAGCTTCTCCTCTACTCATGTGTCACACTGAGCTCTGCCTTCACTCATTTGTCACAATGAGCACCCCCTCTACTCATGTGTCATACTGAACCCCTCCTTTGCTCATTTGTCACACTGAGCTCCTCCTGTACATATGTATCAATCACATTGAGTTCCTCCTCCATTCATGTTTCACACTGAGCTCCTCCTTCATTCATGTGTTGCACTTAGACCCTCTACTGATGTCACACTGAGCCCCTCCTCCGCTCATATGTCACACTGAGCCCCTCCCCCCCTCATATGTCTCACTGAGCCCCTCCTCCCCTCATATGTCACACCGTGCCCCTCCTCCGCTCCTATGTCACACTGAGCCCCTCCCCCCCTCATATGTCTCACTGAGCCCCTCCTCCCCTCATATGTCACACCGTGCCCCTCCTCCGCTCCTATGTCACACTGAGCCCCTCCCCCCCTCATATGTCTCACTGAGCCCCTCCTCCCCTCATATGTCACACCGTGCCCCTCCTCCGCTCCTATGTCACACTGAGCCCCTCCCCCCCTCATATGTCTCACTGAGCCCCTCCTCCCCTCATATGTCACACCGTGCCCCTCCTCCGCTCCTATGTCACACTGAGCCCCTCCCCCCCTCATATGTCTCACTGAGCCCCTCCTCCCCTCATATGTCACACCGTGCCCCTCCTCCGCTCCTATGTCACACTGAGCCCCTCCCCCCCTCATATGTCTCACTGAGCCCCTCCTCCCCTCATATGTCACACCGTGCCCCTCCTCCGCTCCTATGTCACACTGAGCCCCTCCCCCCCTCATATGTCTCACTGAGCCCCTCCTCCCCTCATATGTCACACCGTGCCCCTCCTCCGCTCCTATGTCACACTGAGCCCCTCCCCCCCTCATATGTCTCACTGAGCCCCTCCTCCCCTCATATGTCACACCGTGCCCCGCCTCCGCTCATATGTCACACCGTGCCCCTCCTCCGCTTATATGTCACACTGAGCCTCTCCTTCGCTCATATGTCACACTGAGCCCCTCCTCCGCTCATGTGTCACACTGAGCCCTTCCATTACTTAGGTGTCACACTGAGCCCCTCCTCTGCTCATGTGTCACACTGAGCCCCTCCTCCGCTCATATGTCACATTGTGCCCCTCCTCCGCTCATATGTCACATTGAGCCCCTCCATTACTCAGGTGTCACACTGAGCCCATCTTCCACGCACATATCATACTAAGCCCCTTCTCTACTCACATGTTACACTGAGCTCCGCCTATGCTCATATGTTGCACTGAGGCCCTCTACCCATATGTCACCCTGAGCCACTCTACTCAGGTGTCACACTGAGCTCCTCATGTGCCTATTGAGATTCTCCTCTGCTTGTGTATCATACTGAGCTCCCCCTCTACTCATGTGTTACACTGAGTCTCTCCTCTGCTCATATGTCACTCTGAGCCCCTCCTCTGCTCATGTCCCACTGAGCTTCTCCTTTACTCATTTGTCACACTGTCACACTGAGCCCCTCCTCTTAGGTGTCAAATTAAGCTCCTCCTCTACTCATGTTTCACACTGAACTCTTACTTCATGCGTGTTATACTGAGCTCCTCCTCTACTCATGTGTTACAGTGAACCCCTTCTCTATTCATATGTCATACTGTGCTCCTTCTTTATTCTTAGGTCACACTGAGCTCCTCCGCCACTCACATGTCATACCGAACTTCTCCACTTTTATGTCACACTGAGCTCTTCCTCCACTTCTATGTCTCACCGAGGCCCTCTTCTAATCATGTGACACACTGAGCTCCTACTCTACTCATAAGTCACATTTAGCTTCTATTCTCCTCATGTGTCACACTATGCTTCTCCTCTATTCATGTGTCATCTGATCCCTCCTCCACTTATATGTCACACTGAGCCCTTCCTCAGGTGTCACACCTAGCCCCTCCACTACTCATAGGTCACACTGACTCCTGTAAAACCCATGTGTCATACTGAGCCCTTTCCCACTTGTGTGTCACATTGAGCCCCTCTTACACTAATATGTCACACTGAGCCCTTCCACTAATCATGTGTTGCACTGAGCCTCTGTCAAACTAATGTACAACACTGGTTTTCTGTCAGTCCTGTGGGCCATACTGGTCCCCTCTTCTACTCATGTGTCACATAGAATCTTTTCTCCTTGCATGTTTCACATGGAGCACCTCCTGCATCCATGTGTCACAATGAACTCTTCTCTCACTTAATGTCACATGTACCCCCCACGATGTACCACATCCAATTTCTCCCCAACCCATGTGTTACACTGAGCACTTCCCCCACTCATGTGTCATACTAAGGCTCTCACTCACTCATGTGTCACATAGAGTCTCTCCTCCTCTCCTGTCCCACATAGACACACTGACCCCCTTTTCCCACTTATGTGTCACAGAGCCCTTGAAATGCACCTGTCACATAGAGTCCCTCACTCATATGTCTCATACAGCACGTCCTTCATCCATGTGTAACTGAGCCCTTCACTATGTATCACACTTAGGTGTCACACTGAGTCCTTCTCCCACTCATTTGTCACATGGAGCCCCTCCCCCACTCACGTGTTGCATGGATTTCCTCCTCTACCCATGTGTCATACTGAGGCCCCTCACTTAGTGTCCTGCTAAATTCCTCCCCACCCATGTGTCACATGGATCCACTCCCCCACCCATGTGTCACACGGAGCCCTTCCCCAACCCATGTATCACATGGACCTCCTCATCTGTGTACCCTTTCCCGCTTCCACGCCCAGTTCTCCTTAGGGCCTTTGATAGTTACTGGCCTCCGACCATGAGGCAGGCTGTGCGAATGTGGTGTTGGTGAGTGAGTTCACTGTGAGGCCCATCACAGGGGAAGGTGGACATAGTGGGCAAGAAATATGTGCAGGAAAAAAGGAAGCTCTTTTTTTTTTTTAAGACAACATTTTATTGGGATCTCTACAAACATATAATCCAACCACTAAAGTGCACAATTCAATAGTTTTTAATACATGCACAGGTATGTGTGACCATGCACACATTTGACTTTAGAACATTTTCATCACCCCTATAAGAAACCCCACAGGCTTGAGCTCTCCTGCCCATGCTCCCATCCCTGCTCCCCCAACCCTAGCCAGCCCCTCATCCGCTTTCTGTCTGGGGGAGACAGCTCCCGTGGGGCTCAATGACTCCTCCCAGGCTCCCAGAAGTGCCCGCTGAGCCCCACTGCAGACATAGAAGGTGAGGCAGATGGGATGGGATCAGACCTCTGATGTCACTCACAGCTTCTGCGCCAGCATCAGGCATGCTCCCCCGCTCCCCCCCATTTCTCCCACCTCTGCAATCTGGCCCCTCTCCACAGTCTCCTGGGCTTCTCTTGGAAATCCAGGCCCTGGCCAGCAGAGGGAGCGGCAGGGCGAGGTGGGTTGCACAACTGTGCCACAGGTCCCCAGTGGCATGCCACGCTACCTGGGCTGGCTGTCCCTTGCTGTCGCTCCTCTAACCGCTAGCAGCAGGTGTCCTACCTGCTATCATGGCGCTTGCATTGTGCTTCCTGGAGGAGGGTCGCGGCCACAGTCAGTAAGTGGGGGGTGAGAACGGCTTCATCCAGGAGTTGATGCCCAGTTATCCAGCGCCTAGATGATGCCTTTCTTCATCCCCTTCAACCAGCGCAGCCCCGGACCCTCCTCTGCACCCCTGGCTGCATGGGTCACGCCCTCACGCTTGTGCTGCCCTGCCAGTCTCTTCCCAGCATGCTCTTTTCTTTCTCTTCTGCAGCTCCCCGAGATCCTGGAGGGGTGCCTGGGGCTGGGCCATCTCTGAGACCCCATCATTGGAGGGAAAGGCTATACCCCCAGTGGGACACTCCCCAGGGCTGGGCCCAGAGCCACCCTCTGACTTGGTGGCTAAGAGCAGACAGGCCAGTTGTAGAGCAGGGCTTCTCCCACCGACAGGGCTGTGCTGTGCTTTCGTAGGGAGCCCTCTGAGGGGATCCAGCTCCCAGGAAAGAGGGGCAGGTGTTGGGGAGACCGTGTCCATTGTTCCCAGGACTGGGGAGGGGGGCGGGGCTCTGAGCAGACTGACCCTTCGCTGTCACAGGAGGAGGGTCTCCTTGAGGGGCCTTAGCCTCTACCCAGGACTCTTCCATGACCAGGAGGCTGAGGGCCCTCACAGGCGGCTGCTTCCTCTCTCCTGGAACCCAGTCTGGAGACAGTCCCGGCCTCCCCAGGACTCCCAGCTCTGTGTCCCCTCCCTCAGACGAAAGCTGCCAACAGGTGCCCTGCTTTCGCTCTTGCCCAGCCCTGCCCAGTCTGGGTGCCCAAAGGGCGCAAGACCAGTGTCCCCCTGGGCCATGGCCTCTGTCTTTTGTGTCCCTCACTATCTCGGGTACCTGGTGGGAGGTAACCTGTGCTCATCCCCTGGGCTAGTGGCATCCTTAACCCACTAACCAGCCATGCAGCCAGCCCAGGCACATGCGTGGGAGGAGGGCAGGGAGGGCCCTTACAGTAGGACAGGGGTCATGGCTCCCGCCTCCTTTCCTGCCCTACCCCCCTCGCTCTCTCCTCCCCTGCCTCCTCCGCACCCCCTCTCCCGTGCCCCCTCCTCACCTTTGCAACTTTGGTTCTTCATGGCATCAGGAGGTGGTTGTTGCTTCGGGAAGACCTTCCTGAGGACACAGCTTGCACAAAGGCTGGGTGACCTCGTGGGGCAGTGGGAGTGTGTGGTGTGTGCATTTGTTGGGTGAGTGGGTTGGAGCAAGACGTGTGTGTGTGTGTGTGTGTGTGTGTGTGTGTGTGTGTGACAAAGGGAATGGAGGTGCCATCATGGAATGCTGTCAGCTCAGGACAGGCCTTTACCCCACTCAGTGACGCTTTTTGATATAAAAAGAGGAGTGGACAGTGTGTGGCAGGCGGGCCTCTCTCTTCTAAGTTTCCTTTTTGCAGAACTAAACTGACCCCTGTGGAGGCCTGGGTTCTCTGCCGGGTGGCTGTGCGATGTTGTAGGTGGAAGGCACATCAGGAACAAATCCTGTTTGTTCTGGGAGACCTTGTCAGGGGTCAGGATGAGGGCTGCTGTTTGGGTCCACCATCCCCTCTTGGTGATGCCCATCAGCCAGCAGCAGGGGCCTGGGTGGTTGGGGGTGGGGGTGAGAGATGGGCTCTGTCTGTCGTTTCTTCTTTCCCCCTCGAGGAGTGGGGCAGGGCTGCCCCGGTGGGCGGGGAGGGGGTTTCAAGCTTCCAGAGCTCCTGCCACACCTCTCACACGGAGCCCCTAATTGGACCAGTGGCCACTTGAAGGAAGGATGGGCAAATCCGGATCTGAGAGGTGAGTACCATCAGCTGCCTGATGGCAGGGGTGGGCTGAGGTGGGAATAGGTCAACAGCCTCATCTGGGGTGGAACTCAGGGGTCCCCCTGGTCTCTCAGATGGTGTCAGAGCTTGGTGGATGCCAGAAATCTGGCGGCTGGGGAAGGTGGACATGGTGCATTGGGGCATGGTCTAGCATGGCCACTGGCCTATGTGCTGGGCACCTGTTGTCCAGAGTAATCAGATGCTTGTCTTGAGTTTTTATTTTATTTTTTTGTGGTGGCCATGATATCAAAGCCCAGTATGTCATTTAATATGAATTTTCTTTCTTTTTTGTTTCAGGAGTAAAAAAAGGTTTGTATTGTATGTGTGTTTAACTGTTTCTAGAAAGTGGGGACCTCATCACCCAATGTCTTTGCCTTTTCAGCCGTCCTCAGCCCCGGGGGCTGCCTCTGTTCTCTGTGAGTCGGGAGAAAGCCCCTCTGGTTGGATTTGGTGGGACCCAGGACGGCCAGGACTTACTTCCCTGTCAGGTGGTGTAGGAGGCCATGGCCACTTCTGTGCTGGCAGCCCCACTGGTCTCCCTGTGTGTGCACGCACACGTGCGTGTCACTGTGGAAAACACGTGCACCATAGTGGGTATTGGGACTCCCCACTGAAGGACAGGTCTGATTGATTGGTGACAAATTATCCCTTTGGCCTTAACTAAGGAGTGGTCCCGTTGACCCTCCTCCAACACTGACCTGGGCTGCAGGGACACGAGGTGCCATCCATCCACCCCCCAGCCACTCAGGACAGCCCCTACCAAGTAGGCATGTAGGTTTGCCCTGGGGGTCCACTCTCTGGTACCCCAAGGCCTGCCTGAACAAGTCCCCAGTGCTGGGAGTGGCCTCCTCACCATGACCCCAGGCTCTGGCCCAAGAGAATTCACACCAAGGGATGTGAGCCCCGGAAGAGTGTCATCTGGGAACAGATGGGATTTTAGGAGCCAAGGGCCCTTGGAGATTGTGTCTTGTTGCCCCTTACACTCGCCTTCTCTCTTGCCATATCCCAATCCCGGACAAGGAAACTGAACCTGTGAGAGGGGTGTGCAGCCAGTCAGCCTGGGACTGGTTGGGGTGGGGACAGGCCCAGAGATAGAGCAGAGGCCCTGGCTCTAAACCTGGAGACCCTGACCATGATCTCCTGGTGCTGCCATCAGGGCTAGATGCCTAGAACAGATGGACGGGTGCGTGAAGGCCAGTCACCCTTGGGGACCAGGGAGGCCGTAGGGCATGAGGCCAGTGTGGAATGTGGAGGGCTCGGAAGTCGGGGGTCAGTAGAGGATGTGGCTTTCCTTAGGGTGAGTGGGGAGGGGTAGGCTTGCCAGGGGGATGGGAAGTGAGGACCCTGGAGAGCCCCTGACCTATGACCCTGAGGTCTGCTTGGTGACCTCAAGGGAGTGCCTTCAGGGGAGATTCTTGTGCTGAGGGGACAGCCCTGGGTGCCAGGCCCACAGGCCCAGCTGCAGCTCTGGGTCAGGCCAGGAGTGGTCCCTGTGCAGGGTGGGGCAGGGGTGCTCATCGAGGTCTGAAGCTGCTGCTGGGTGGGGGGACCCCAAGGCCAGGCAGGGGGCCCTGGGTGAGCAAGTGTGGGATGGTGGCATGAGTGAGCGCTGAGGGAGCCAGTGCGCCTCCCTCCAGCCTCCCCTCCCCCCACACTGCACTTATCCCGTGGGACCCTCCCCCTTCTCAGGGCTGTGCACTCTCCCACGAGCCATTTTGCCACTTTAGGGCAGTGTGAGGACCTTGGCTTTCTCCATTGGTGGGGGACAGTCGGGGGAGAGTTAGAAACTGCGGTTCCTTGGTTCTCAGACCCTGAATTAGGAGGCAGAGTCCAACCTGCCCACCCCTCATTTCTCGTGGGGGAGGAAGGCCCAGGCCAGAGGTAGGACTTGGGTTTCTGGGGTCCCTACTCTGGGCCCTCAAGAAGAGGCATTCCCAGTGTTCCCCCTTCCTGGATTGTGTGCCAGGCGCCAGGCAGGGCCTGTTTCAGTGGGGAGTTCCGCCCTACCATCTCCCCTCTCCTCGCCTCCCCCCTCCTCTATCCTGTCTGCCCCCCCACTCTCTACCTTCAGAACAAATCACAAAGTCGGATAATCTTTTCTTCTGCTTTATTTTGGGGTAGAATGGGGGGACATGCAGGGAAGGGTCTCATCCCCGTGGCAGAAAGCGGTGGTCTGGTAGGAACGCTCTCAGCAACTCAGCACAGGCTCTGGGGGTCTCACATGTCCTCAGTCTCTTTTGGAGCCCCCTGTGCTGTCAGTGCTGGGAGGGGGTTTGGGAGCCCTCAGTGTCCTGTGGAGTCAGGGGGACTCTCAAGGTTGCAAGCCCGGTAAGTACTGGTGCGATGGGACGTTCCGTGGAGCACAGTGTCCAGGTAAGAGGCAGAGTCAGGGTCAGGCAGTGAGTGCGGAATGGGCTGGACCAGACTGTGGGGGTGGCTCGCTTTGCAGGGGGTGGTGGGGGTGGGATGGGGACGGCACCACAGCACGTGAAGATGTGGGAGTGGGGTCGGGTCCAGGGGAGCAGGAGCACCGGAGCTGGAGGTAGAAGTCAGTGGAGCACCCGAGGTCAGTGTCCCAGGATGGCACAAGGTGGCCATGTTGCCACGTCAGCGGGGTGGGTCTCTGGCATCTGCTTGCTTGGCTGCTTCTGCTGTGCCCGATTCCTCACCTGGCCTGGGGTCATGGGGTCATTTCTGCTCATCACTGCTTTCTCCTATCATTGATCTCACTCCCAGTGGTGGGCCTGGGACCTGGAGAATTAAGACGGAAGGAATGTGTAGCCCTGAGCTGGCTCTGGGTCTCTGATGACTGGCTAGTCTGTTGGCACTGTAGATGTTGCTGGTTGATGAGTGGAAGAGATCATGGCTCTTCTTGAGTGGGTTCCCCTTGAGTCAGGAGTGGCAGGAGGAGCGCTGGGTCCGAGCGAAGCAGACTGAGGCACAGGGAGGCTGAGCGGAGGTTGTGTTGGGTGCCTGGCGCAGAGGAGTGGAGGGTTTGTTGCTGGTGAGGAAGTGTTTTCAGTTATGGTCCGAGTCCTCATCACCCTCAGGGAGCTCCTCTAGCCTTGCTCCGCCCCTGGCCTGTCTGCCTCGGAGGGGGACTGGATCCTCTGCGCAGATCATGGCCAGGAAGTGGGCCAGGCTCCTGGCCGCAGGGTCCTGATGAGGCAGATTGGGTTGATCTCGGTCCCCATACAACTGTCTATACAGGGAGTCCAGGATTCCACCAGAGGCCCGTGGTGGGGCTGGGGCGGTAGGGGCGGGGTCGGCCGCCGCAGCCTCCTGCATCTGGTCCTCTTTCTCTTCGTCCCCTCCCTCGTTAGCTTCCTCCGCCTGGACCCCTTGTGCGCCGTCCTCCTGCACGTCGTCATCCGCCTGCGCGTCCTGCGAGGTGTCTTGCAGGCCGTCATGCAGGCCACACTGACGGTAACGTTGCAGGTCGTCTTGCAGGGCTTCTCGCAAGACGACATCACTACCGATGACGTGCAGCTCCAGGTAGTGGCTCCTCCCGTGCAGGAGGGGCTGGGATCTTTCTCTGGGAGCGACTCTGACACAAAAGCGCTCGCACAGCATTGTCCAGAACTCAGATGGGAGGGGTAGGACCCGGGAGCCCTGGGGCAGCAGGGCCCTCTGTTCGGCCTGTTCCTCAGCCCGGATGGTGACAGTGCCCACGAGAGGGGGCATCTGGGTCAGCAGCTGGGTGATGGCCGTGGCAATGCCATGGTTTGTGAGGAGGGACGAGTCCAGAATGAGGCGCAGGGAGCGCGTGGCTGGCAGTAGTGCCACTTCCAGAGTGGGTGCGGGCAGCAGCGGGAGGTGCTGCTTCATCTTCAGTATTGCCAGCACGGCCATGGGGGCCAGGGCTTCCTGACTGATATGCAGGTCTCGGAAGAAGTGCAGAAAGAGGCTCCTCATCTGGTCCATGTTGAGATGGACAAGGAGGTTGCTGAGTATTTGGTCCATTTGTAACGGAGTCAGGGCCTCTTGCTGTTGGCTCTGCCTACTTGGCTCTTCCTGGGGAGGTACATGTTCATTCTCCTTTTGTTCCCCTAGTTCTGGGAGTTGATCCCTGAGGGACCCTTCTGTGGTGACAGGACTCAGAGCCCAGGTGTCAGTGCGGGCCCGGGTGTCAGCAAGGGCCCGGTTGTCAGTGAGGGCCCGGATGTCAGCGAGGGCCCGGGTGTCAGAGTGGGTCTGGGTGTCAGTGAGGGCCCGGGTGTCGATGAGGGCCCGGGTGTCAGTGAGGGCCCGGGTGGCAGTGAGGGCCCGGGTGTCAGCGAGGGCCCGGGTGTCAGTGAGGGCCCGGGTGTCAGCGAGGGCC